GGAAAGCTATCTTAAAACATTCTTTGGAAAACGTTTGTTCAGATGATGCCTTATCAAAGGAAAGCGTGGGTACGTGAAGGCTCTTCCTGCTTTTCGTTCCGTTACCTGTATTTAACTCTACCAAATGCAGTTGCAGTCCTTTGAAGAAAAAAATGTTGTACATATGCACGCATCTGAGAAACATTAGTGGGTCATTTTTGGTATTGATTTACACACTAAGGCTTTTCAGTTGTCTTTAGGTTTCTATTTCCTTGAGTTAAATTTTCTCTGGCTTTGTCATGTCTTTAATTTTTTTTTAAATACAGCACCAGCAGTTGTGGGAAGAAATACCAGCCTCAATGCATTTCAATCCAGACCTCTCCAATCCAAATTTATTGGGGTCCTAGGGGTGCCAGAGGGAGAGCAGGAAGAAAAGCAGCAGCCTGGGGCTTCCAGCTGAATTAATTGCCATTGGTATTAGAACACAGTAGGGTGAGTGTGGAATGCAGGGAGAAAGTTTTAGTTTTCAAAAGTGCTTTAGTCTTTCTACATTCTCATTAGTCTTGAAAAGCAGGCAAATGCTTATTTGCAAGATGGAACTTTGGAAGCCATGCAAAGAGGTTTTAAAGCACATTAAACCCCAAGAAGTTATTCGTGCCATACTCCCTCTCCCTTGCAGCCACCCCCAGATCATATGGCACTGCATTTCAATTGGCTAAATAGCCATTTATTTATAGTCTCATTAAAAGAAAGGAAAACAGGCACAGGAAGGATGGGATAGCAATTTTTTTTTAATCCTTTTGTTCCTCTCCTAAACCACTATAAAATTCTGTTGTTTCTATTCCTTCTTAAATTTATTCAGCTGTTGCTTTCCTGCTAATTAAGGTGCCTTTTCTTGACTCTTTTGCCTCACAAGATCAGTTCAAATATTCCCATAGAAAGGCAAAAGTTAGCTTGCTCCTGGACTGAGTTCCCACTAGGAGACCCTGGCACGGCAGCAGAGGGCTCCAGTGCTGCGATCCTACTCCCCTGCAATGCGCAACGAATGCTGCCGAAGAAACCCACTGCAGCCAGGAGCCTACTGACTGGAAATGACTCTTCCGCATAAATGAGTGAATACATCCCAGCAGTTTTCCATGGAAAGGGAAGCCTTTTCAGGAGTCTCACACTCTGTATGGCTCTAAAAGTGTTAATAGTTAACTGTTAAAATAATTAACCCAATCTGTGTTTTACCCCTCTAACCCATTTTGCACACCTGAAGAGCTACAGCGTCTAGTCCACCATGTTTTCTGCAAGAGCTGACTACTTAAAGAGTGGTTCTTGATCAACAGTTTAACCTTCCTCAACTATTTTACCCCGTACCCATGTGTCTATGGATTCCTAGATACAAGCCTCTGATATCTCTTGTTTCTTCTTAGGGTAGTAGGATCAGCCCTAGATCAAATAATACGGGACAATGATACTGATTTCCTGGGTCTCTGAAAGGCTTACTTTTCGGGCCTTTTTGCCTCACACCCCCAGTGCTAAAGTCTCCTATCAGTCTCCTGCCCCAGATTTGCTGGCCCTACACAGGCTTATGTGCTGCTGATTGCTCGTCTCTCTCACTTAGAGATCAGGAGGAGAGCTAATCAAGTGCAGATACGTTACTTTCCAAGTATCAGTTTCTCTGTCTGTAATCAAGAGATGCACTGGAAGCCTGCTTATCCAATAGGGAGAGGGCCGTTTCTGGAAATTAATAGAAGAAGTTGAGGAATCATTAAATAATTCAAACTATATGCCCATGGCTATATAAAGATTTAATCTAAGAAATTATTGGTGGAGCATGTCTGCGTTTTTTGGAAAATTGCTACCAGGAATATCATGTGTTATATTTGTATTGTCCCTATCACTTCATTTTTCCCAGTGTTTAAGGGCAAGAAAATCTGTGATGATGAAAATCTATGATGATGAAATTATTATAATAATAATCATAATAATAATAACCAATACATATAACAATTGCTATGTGTCCTCACTGTTTTAAGTATTTCATATATATTAGTTTATTTAACCTCACAAGATCTATATGAGGTAGATAAAATAGATATTGTATCTCCCATTTTATCTATGGGCAAACTGAGGCACTTAAGAGGTTATATGATTTTGCTAAGATCA